ACGTGCTGTCAGATAGCTTCCAGCCGACGATGGGGAGGATGTACGAATACACATACTAATGGATCATTTCGGGTCGTCAGGAGAGGGACAAGAGTCTATTATATCATACACCGGTCTAATCAGAGCAAGCTACACACGAGCCAAGTGAGGCCCCCCAGCGCCACCGCCCAAGCCAGAGCGACCATCGCGTGCTTCCTACTGCCCTCCCCAGCAACAAACGCATGCATCAACGGCCATCCAGGTTCGGACACACAAGGGGGTGCTCACTGCGGGCTTCCCCCGCCGCTCTACATCTTGCGGAAGGAGTCAGCGTGCAGGTCTGAGGGGATCAGCCTGGCGAGCAGCCGGCTGGAGACGGTGAACCACGGCGTGTAGAGGATGGCGTTGTGCGCGCCGAGGGTTACGTACTGCCAACCCCATCAAACTCGGTCAGTAAGTGCTTGGGTTAACAGTGGCAAGGTGGGGGGGAGGACTCACGCTCGCCGCCGGCCTGGGCGTATGCTTCCTCGTCGGCTCCTTCCCCGCAATCAAGCTCAACACGTTAGCCGCGACCGTCCGCCCGTGCCTCAAGCTCCCGCCAAGCAACTTCACCTCCGGCACATCGGCCACGTCGCCCATCGCGAACACGCGCTGCAGCGCTGGGTGGGAGGAGTCGACCTGGAAGGTCGGGTGGACGCGGATGCAGCCGCTTTTGGCTATGGCGCTCGGGTCGAGGGAGGAGATGAGCGACGAGTTGGGCACGTTGCCTGTGGCGAGGTACACGTATTGGGCTTCGCCAGGATCAGTGGGGATTTATGCTAGGGGTACGTGGAGGAGCTTACCTTCGATCGTCCGTCCCTTCGCGGTATGGAAGACCATCTTCTCTCTCACGGTCTCCCCGGGTGTATACCCCTCAGGCCAAAGAACCGTGTCCTCCAAAATGACCTCAATGCCCATCTCCTGCAAGATCGGCAGCACTCTCTCATGCGCCTTGGGCGCATACCGCATGAGCTTCTCGCTCCGGTGCACGAGGGTGACGGCCACGTTCGGGTGCAGCTCGCGCACTTCGGTTGCTAGCTCGATGCCGGCGGGGCCGCCGCCTACTACCAGGACGCGCCGGGAAGATGCGATGGTACTTTGGGAGGCTCGGAGGTAGCTGGTGATCTCTTTCGCTGTCGGGCCCGCTGGACGAGCCGGCGGTGCCTGGGATGCGCCGGTAGCAATAATGCAGTACTGTCCTGACGTGAGCAGGCGATCAGTACAGGGTAAGTTGGCTTCCCGCGTACCTCATATGGAATCTCCGCTCCAAGACCCAACTCTGGGTGCGCCTTGTCCACAATGACAGCGTGCTCTTTCAGCTCGAGCACAGTCGTTCCAGGCACAGCGATGTGCCTACTGCCCTTAGAAAAGAGGTTGGCAAACGGCGTGTGGATCTTCTCTTCCCATCCTTCGGTGAAAGGGTCAGAAAGACTAATGGAAGAGTGCAAGCGACATGCCTGGGACAACGGCCGCTCGGAGCGCGGCAATAGGATAGAAGAGAGCCTCTTGGGTATCGATGAGGACGATTCGGTAGTCCGTTGGTAACTTGTTTTTCAAGAAGTCTTGTGCAAAGAAGCCTGAAAGTGAAGCGAGCGTCAGTCCGTAGCAATCCCTGCGCATCTGAGAAGAACAACGTACCGGAGATAGCCCCGACAATGATGATGTTCTTATCGACAGATGCCATATCGTTTGGAGATCAATCTCGGTGGGGGGCAGGAGGTTGTGACCTTTAAGACGGTCGACCCGCCCCGCCTATATAGAGCGGGCGCCAAATCTTATCAGATCTCACAGGAATGTGGGGGACCGCGGGCGGGCGGGCATCTCCGCCCCTCAGACAGCCATGCTGCTCAGTGTGGATCACGGCCGACCGGACGCGTAACGTCGGCTTGGTCGCGCCTGTGCCACACAGGGACTCTGCGCAGGCTTTGCGAACTTCGCGCACTGCGCACTGTAACAGCACTCCACCGCATTGCCTTTTCCAGTCATTTCGCAGCACATGAGTCAATTTGGTGGGTTTGTTATCCCATGAAATCGGTCGTGGGCGCCGAGGTGCAGGTGACGCGGCACACCCGGGCCCGGAAGACCCTGGCCCCGAATGATGGGCTGGTTCATGGATTTATTCGTCCGACGGATCTATAATTGATTAGATGCGAAACAACACCGGTACCAGTCACTATCGCACACCGCCTGAATGGTTCGGGCGGTGAAGCGATGCATGACAAGAGAGCCGAACAGAGCGTGTATGGCTTTCTACAAGCGAGCTTGGGGGCAAATGTTGCATTTAGAGGACATGGCCGATCGGCCGAAGGAAGCGCTCAGTGCTCGCCACATCGGATACTTAGCCCTTGGGAAGAAACACCTGTCTTTCGTACGGTCGCCTCCAAGAACCATACCTTGCAGCACAGCGTATGGCTGTTTTTAGTGGGGAAAACCTCGTCATATTTTGTGAAGAAGATGAATGCAAGAGGCCAGAGGAAAATCCCGTCAGGTAGTCGGTGATCTGTTGTGCGCCAGGGCCAGCCGGACGAACAGCAAATGTTTGATAGGTGCCTGTCGCAAGCACATAGTACCGGGCTGTGGATGAGAATGGGGAAGAAGATCCAAACCCATTCCGCACACTTCGAATAGGATCTTGGATTCCATTGCACTCTCTGTCCGATAGCACTGTCCAATAGCACAGATCGCTCTTTGAGTTCGGTGGCCATCCTTCCCGGGCAGGTGATGTGTTCCGAACCCTTCCCAAAGACCTTCGAAAAAGACATGTGAATATTGACCTCCCAACCTGCATCCTCATCAGTAAGTAGGTGAGACATATGAGCACTCTACATATGCCAGGAATGACTACAGCCTTATCTTCTTCTGAAGGGGTGAAAGCAGCTTGCACAATCAGTCCATAGGGAAGGGGATGCATACCTGACTCAATGTTGGAACATCAGCAAGAGCCTGGCCATAAGTTTGGGCAAGTTTTCCCAGTCAATGTTTCCAACAATTATCGTTAAGTGATGTTCCACCTGCCCTCATATCATAAGGGTAGGTGGATCATTGCTTAACAATATGTAGTGCTTAGCTTCATACTTACCAGTGCATCAATTGATTTATTTGGCCTCATTGATCTTGTCATCACAAAGTACAAACTCAAGGAGACAAAATCAATAATCTTCCGGACTGTGTTTGCATCAGAGGACCTCCGACTCCTATTTGCTACATCAAAATTAACACCATTCACAAAGCACTAGTGAATACTACTCACCGTTAGACATAAGTTAATGCTTTAAACTGGTTCTGGTGCGAAACATCATGACTGACATCCTACTCCTGCCAAAAGCGTGTAGAAAGAATGAGGCCTGACAAGCGGCGATCTCTCTTGTGGCCAGGTTATGTGATCACCGTCGGCTTCGCACTTCTTCCCGGGCAATCAGCTTGGGTTTTTCCGATGGTCGAAATATAGCGCTTATCTGAAATGTGAAGCCATAAGTATTATTGCCTAGTGCAAGAGCAAGCGGGTGAGGTGATCGTCCCAATCATGATGACGGGGCCGGCGGGCCAACCCAGCGCCCCGCCAAACGGCTCCGACGCCACCGCACGTGGAGCCCCCGGACCCGCGTGCTCATTTTGGGCCAACTTCGTGGAACCCGTGGGGGTCGTCTGCCCACCTCGCTGCTCTCGTTGCTCACTGTCCAAAAATGATGCGCCCGGCTTTCGTGCTCAGGGCGCTCCTGGCGCTTGTATTGGCTACTTCTGTGTCTGCTTGTGAGTGATTTGTGAGGGGCTGGGAGGCAGATGTTGACGAGGGATGCAGCGCTCTTCTCCAATGAACCGGATGTCAAGGTCACCGCAACCTTCCCCGAGGGGAATCCGTTTGGCCGTGGGTCCTTCCTTGTCAAGCAGATGTATGCAAGGCTGACGGGTATGCAGTTGTTGTCAATGGCCAGAAGAACGAGATGTCGATGGCAGTCGAGAACGCCTCACCAAAGAACATAACGCTCGTCTCATTCGGCGGTTCCTTCCACGACGCCGTGACCGAGGCGTTCCTGCGCAACGTACGTCTCCTTCTTCCTACTGCACCATCAACACGGTATACTGACCATGTACATAGACTACCGCACGCAGCGTCAGCGGTGTTGTCATCCCCGCGGCCGGCAAATTGACGCTGCCGTACGTCTTCCACAGCGAGTTCAAGCCGAAGGACCTGAAGCTGCACCTGTGGGTGGACTACCTGGACGGGGTACGTCTCTTCTCCATTTTCTCTGCCTCACCCATGCTCACAATATTTAAGAAGGAGAAATGGCGCGCCACGGCCTTCGAGGGTATCGTCACCATCGTAGAGCCACCCTCCTCGCTGTTCGACCTCCAGATATGGGGCGCGTACGCGCTCGTGCTCGCACTCATCGGCGGCGGCTCCTACTGGGCGTACCTCTCCTACTTCCCGCAGAAGAAGCGCGGGGCCCGCGCGCGTGCGCCCAAGCCCGTCGAGGTGTCCGCCCCCGTCGGCACCGTCACGGCGAGCAACGCGTCCGGGTCGTATCAGGAGGAGTGGATCCCGAAGCATCATTTGAGGAAGGCGAAGAAGAGCGGCGAGAAGAGCGATGGGGCGATCACGAGCGGGGATGAGAGCGAGGGCGCCAAGAAGAGGAGGAGCTCGAGGAGGAAATAGGTGCGGGCGGTGTTCAGCGGAAGGAAAGGATGGGGAATGCATGAGATACTGCTCGAAACTGGGCCCCTGCCCCTGCTAGCCGCAGTTTCGACTGCGGCTGGCCGCCGGTTTTCCGTCGATCTCTCCCAGTAGTTACCTACCCTGCACATACTCTCCTTCATCTTGTCCTGCCACCAACCAAAACCAAAATAACATGCGATTCCCTCGCCCTCTTCCTTGCCCACCGTCCAGAAAAGCTTCCGTCCCATTCCCAGCAACAAAAAGTTACGCTGCACGGCCCATTTCCACTTTATGTTGGAGGGACCCCACATTTGAAAAGAAAAAATTCAGGTCGATTTGGGATTCGAACCCAAGTTGCTCGGAGTCTTCGGTCAGAACCGAGAGTGATAACCGCTACACTAATCAACCGATTAGATGGTAACCTGGCCCATTTCACTGTACTTGAGCTACACACTCAATTTGCAGGGACGGATGCAGTTTTCGCACTCTTTCGTAACTACCGTAGTGACATCAACTGTTGTTTGTCAACCGTGTCTACAGCGGCATGGGGACAACATGAGGGCTCTAGTTGCTAGGATTCGCAGGAGAACAGCGAATATAGGGGTAGGGGGCTCATAGTCTTACATTGCAGAGAACGTATCTACTGTATGACATCGGATGACGCTAGAGATTTAGTTGTCGTGATTCGGATGACAAAGGAAACAGATCTTCAGGTTGTTGTATCAGGAGAGAGAGAAGCAGGAAAATGAAAATGGGTTGATAAGGGGATGAAAGAAGCATTTCACGAGCATATCAGCGTATCACGTCTACCAGTCACCGCCGTCTCCTCCACCGTCACCAGCATCGCCGATCATGTCGCCGAGCAAGAAGCCGCCTGCAAGGCCACCAAGGAGGGGAAGGGCCATCCCCCCACCGCCGAAGCCGCTCGAGCGCTGCTGGTACTGCTGCTGGGGTGGGGCGTACTGGGGCTGGTAGTACGGCTGGGGTGCGTACGCCGGCTGGGGCGCATAGTACCCCGGCTGCGGGGCGTAGTACCCCTGCTGCTGCGGCTGGGCGTAGCCGCCCTGGGGCCCGTACTGCCCCGGATAGCCTTGGGACCGGATCTCCTGCTGCCGCTGCTCGTACCGCCGCCGCATCTCCGCCTCACGCTGCTGCGCTTCCAGCCGGCGGCGCTCGCGCTCCTCGGGCGTGCCGTTCAGCTTGTTCTTGATGTTGCCGAAGAAGCCCTTCTGCGCCTGGGCGGGGGCGGCGCTCGAGCCCGAGCCCGAGCCGGTCGGGGGTGGAGGGCCAGGAGGTGGGGCGAACTTCTTTGCGGGCGCCTTGTCCGGGATCGACGCGATGTACTGCGGGTCGTCGTATGGGTGGACCCAGATAGAGCGGGGCGGCTTGGCCTTTGTGTCGACGTAGAAGTGGTGCTTGGCAGTCGGGTCCCACTGGCGGATCCAGCCCGCGGGCAGCTCGCGCTCCTCGTCGAGCAGCGATAGCGCAGAGTTATTCGACATGCTTGATCCGGGCACTGCGAGTCCGCCGGTGCTGCTACGCTTGTCGTTGCCGCCGGAGAAGGAGGATGACTTGCCGGTGTCGGGCGCGGAGGAGGTGGTGGGTGAGTCGGTGTACGCGGGCGGGGCGTCGGTGGGCTCGACGATGGCCGGTGGAGCCTTTCCGCTGTAGGGGTTCTTGGACATTGGAGAGGGAAGGGAGGGGGAGCAGAGCAGGGCGGTATATATGCTGCTGCGTGCGATCAGGGGAGAGAGGGGCCGCCCAGGGCACGCAATGCGGTTTATATGGCCTGCACGGGCTTGGCAGCGCCCTTGTCCGCGCCGTGGGTGGCGGTGGCCTCGCTGGGCCGGCATCGGTGGCGAGCGCAGCATGCCGGGAATGCGGGGCCAAATTGAATGCGCCGGTGACGCCAGGGAGAGAGCTTCGCGAAGCATCCATCGCCGGGAGGGAGGAGAGGGAGAGCGGACCCTATGAATTCCCGAATGGGCTGCTGCTGTCACTTTAGTAGTGCCCTGCAGCTGGAGGAGCTGGATGGACGGACGATTGTTGCTGGCCAGATCCTGTTGCCTGACCACCATAACCATCAGCTAACTCGATAACTTGAAAGTCGTGAGAGAAGATGCCTGCGAAGAAAGTCCTCTGCGGGTTCGGCGTAGACGTGGACGCAGTAGCCGGTGCGTGCCACCTCTCCTACTAACCGCTTCCCAATCACCGCGTGTCAGGGTGGGATGGCATAGGGTCTTACAGGTGGAACGGAATTACCTGTAATAGACATAGGGCAGGCCGATAAGGTGTTCTCGCCTAGGTTCCTAACTGGGATTCTCCAACGGACTTTCATGTCCTATCCTAGGGTTGATGGTAGGTAGAGTTTCCTTTGTTTCATAGGATAGTTATTGTAGTCAATCTATCCCAGTCCCAGCTTTGCGCCGGCCAGATATCATTGACTATGCTTCGCGCGGGCCATCGCCGGTCATCTTCGCGGGATACGTAAATTGATCATAGATCCTGGCCAGAACAGCTAACCTACAGCGGAAATCAAGCCAGGCGTTCTAAAACGGCCCCAGCAAGATCAGTATATCAAATATTTCCTCTGCCCCAACCGATTTCCGTCCTCTCGCCCATAAAATCTCACGCTCCTCTCTCCGAGGGGGAAGAAACCAGCTTTCACCCGTTCTCGCCTTGTCCCCATGCTCCCATCATCTCTCTTCCCCTCGACCGACTTTTTCCAGGCGCTTGAAGGTCTCGAGGAGCCGCAGAGGTCCATCGAGAAGGCGCGTGTTCTCCGGTGGTTGACAGAAACGCGGTCGGCCTTCCCTGATGCAGCAACGTTGTAAGCCAAAGTCGCCCGACACCAACACATCACATCAGATGTGATGTGTTGTTGGACGATTTGCCCGACATCAACGCATCACTCACCTCCTGCTGCAGGACTCAGCAGACCACCTCGACTCAGTCCAGCGGGTATCTGCCAGCCCTGCCTTCCTCTGCGAGCGAACCGGCACCCATCTCCTCGGTCGACACGACATTCGAGATTGCTGCCGAAGCATCTCCTGCGCAGCCCAATATTGGCGACCTTCATCGTCGACTCAAGGCAGTTGAGGCGGCTGTCGTCCATCCTCCGGCCAAGCGTCGGAAGAGGAAGACGAAGATCCAAGCAGGGGCCGAGTCATCGTTGCTGCCCGCTCCGTCGTCGACCTTTGGCATCAATCCTGCCAGACTCGAGAGACATCATTTGGATGAAACCGAGCTGAGTATCAAGCGATTCCTACAGGTGGGTTAGCTCCATAGACTGGCAGGCCTTGGAATACTTACATTTATGTACAGGGGCAAATTCGCAGTCAGTTGTACGCCGCCATGCAGTACAAGGTCGGTGACAGGATGCCTTGCCACGGCTACGGATCCAAGCCCGACGACCCAAACCTTCTCTGGCCCGACTTCTCCCAGAATATCAACGGACCGTGCAACCGGCTGCTTCAGATGAGGGCCACTATGATGGTCTTGGAAGATGCAAAGGTGAGTTGTTCCGTCCGACACCAACACACATCACTCACAGGCAGCAGAACCACCCGGAGAACATACCCGAAGAGTACCGCGAGAAGTGGCTCAACTCGGCCGTACTGCTCGAGCTAGCTCGTATCTCGTGGCCACACTTGAAGGCGGTCTGGAACAGCCAGCGACTGGAGGCTTCGGATGGAGGGGCAGACAAGAGGAAGAAGGCGAGTGCTGGGCGGCGCGGGGAGAGGCGTAGAACGGTAAGTGATGTGTTGGTGTCGTACGAATGCAGGACTGACCCTCCTTTCAGCGTGCAGCGCAGATGCGCAAGGCCCTCAAAGACTTTTGCCTCGAGCGACACCTTGATCCGCTCATTGTCACCCCTGAGCTCGTGCACGACGAATGGGTCGGCGAGGAATGGTCTTGCGATGAGGAGGATGGAACCAAGAGTTCGAAGTGGAGAGAGAGCTTGTACGCGACGGGCAAGATCACAGCAGATGAAAGGGATGAAGACGATGCTCTGTTTGCCGTGCTTGAGATTAAGAGACCTGAATGGATGGATCTCGAGGTGTGTAAGCTTGCAGCCGCATGAAAGAAGTAGATGGCTTACCGTCAGCTCCAGGTGTGGACCTGGTATCAGTGTATCCATGGTAGATATATGAAGCAAGTCGCTTCAAACGGCAAACCTGGCTCCAAACCCGGTAAACGTGTGGACTTGGGCCGCACTTCCTCCCTGATGCCCATGACCGAGCCCTTCGACTTCATGCTGGATCAGGAATGGGCCAGAGACGAGTTGCCGAAGTTGCCGGATTGGGTAAGCCAGCCAGGGCTTCCTGCGGGGGTGCCCGAGACGATTGTTCGAATCATAAAGCCGTCTTTATGGTGTGATGGTGTCGGGCGAGATAGTCAGCAAGTTGTTCTCAATTGAGGCAACAACACTTACGCATTGCATGCTAGATAGTCCAGTCGTTACATAGTCCTTTTATTAACATTTGATCAGAAACATCGAAAGATCAAGCAGATGACCACTCACACAGAGTTACCTATAATGACCTTCCACTCTATAACCAGACTAGATTATAATCCGTTCAATAAAGCTCGTTGTAAATAAACTGACCTTGCTCATGCCTGTGGTGATCCAGATCTTCCGGTCTCCAACCTCCATCTCACAGCGTGAAGCCGTACCAGCGACGTCCTTCACCAGGATGAGTCGGTCCGGCTCCCAGTCGGCGGTGCCCAGGTAACGCCGGTATTCCCAAAAGTTAACTTCCAACTCAGGACTGCAACAAAGTCTGTGATGTGTTGGTGTTGGACGCGGAGGCGAGCGACTCACAATTCACGGTATAAGTCGGCATGCTTGGGTGTATCTTGGAGGGGTACAAGCCAGGCTACTTCTGCAAAGGTGTGAGCGTGTTCAATGCCACTTTGGCGATGCGAGAAGACTGCTCTGAGCTCGCCAACCCATTGCAGCCCTGTTGACACCCGGTGGAGGACAAGGGAGTCCCCCTTGCTACACTTTTCTTCATGTGCGGTCGTGATACGCATGCCTTCTACTCGGAGTTCGGGGAAGAATGTAGCCTTGTTCGCCAAGAACGTGCTCCCCAGGGGCGCAGATGCATCGGCGCCAAAGCGAAGCTTAAGATCTGGGTGGTATCGGGTGTACCAATCCATGAGGGCCTTCTGAAGGTAATCTTCCAGGAAGCGCGGCTTACTTGCGCCAGCGGGAACGCATTGACGGGGTTGTCGATCTTCACATTGTGCTGCAGCTTGAGCTTGTGCTTCTGCGGTGAGAGCAGAAAGAGTGCCGACACGCGCGATATCGCGGGCGTGCTTCTGGATGTTGCTCGCGAAGTATCGAGCGAGTCGGTCGTTGTCCTGATTGGCGAGCACCGAGCACTGGCAACACGTTAGCAGCA